ACCTGCTGACGCACTTTAGAATCTTGAGCATTTAATGTGGTGAAGGAAAGAGCCATCCGGATCTATTAGGAGGGAGGCACAATCTGGCCTCTGCTCTGCTGATCCCCTACACCTGCTGTCGCACCAGAGCCCAATCATCCTGGACATTTCTTTCCCCTCCCGAACTCCACACCCACTCTCCTACCCACCTTCAAAAAAGATGCTGCAATCTCCTTGGTATCAGGTTCAACACAGGCAATCCTCTGTGTTGGCCGTCAATGGCTCTTGGACTTCTGATACCTTTGGTGCTCTGTGCCAGTCCATACTGTCTCCCTAAGCCAAGTTTCTAGTCTGTTTGGCTCCACCCTGGAGATGTTGAGTCAGGTGCAAAGGTAAGTGGAATAGTGATTGTTACAGTAACAATTCTTTGTAAATATATATATATACTCCCATGCCAAGTAATACAGGGAGAATTGGAAAGGGAGATAATGAAGAGAAGAAAAGGGGCCAGAGACCTGCTGACTGCACCAGAAAGCCCACCACTGAAAGCACTCAAAATAATCCTCAGAGCACTGGGAAAATGGGTATCTTTGTACCTTGGTCAGTTACTGAGGCTTAGGGAAACTCAATTTCTTGGTAAAGGGTCATATTTTGTATGTGAGGCAAAGAATTTGCTGATTAGGCCATCATGCTGCCCCTCACCACATGGCTTGGCACAGCCTACCAATTAATGATTCCACCATTTCAACCACCTTCTCTTTTGAAATACAAATAGCCCAGCAAAGACGAAAACGTGACATGAGACAACTGAGTGCAAGCTGTTAGGATCACATCACCAGCTCAGTACTGTATTAGTCAGCTCAAGTAACAGAATACCACATCAAAGTGCCATCAGCCAGGTAGCTTAAACAGCAGACCTTTATTTTCTCATAGTTCTGGAGCCTGGAAGTCTGAGATTGCCAGAATCTGGTGAGAGCTCTCTCCCTGGCTTGCGACAGCTGCTACTGTGTCCTCACACGGTTTAGGGAGAGAGTGAGAGAGAGTAAGATCTTTGTGTCTCCTCTTTTTCTTTTAAGAGGTGGGGAGGGGCAGAGAGAGAGAGAGAATGAGAGAGAATCCCAAGCAGGCTCTGTGCCTAGCGCGGAGCCTAATGCAGAGCTCAATCTCATGACCAAGAGATCATGACCTGAGCTGAAATCAAGAGTCAGACGCTTAACTGACTGAGCCTCCAAGCTGCCTCTGTTGTCTCCTCCCATAAGGGTACTAATCTCTTCACGAGGGCCCTACTCTTATGACCGCCTCTAAACACAATTACTTCCCAAAGGCCCTGTTGCCAAATACCATGGCATTGAAGGTTAGGGCTTCAACATATGAATTTTGAGGGGACACAATTCAGTAGACGGCAAGTACCAAGCCCCTTTCTCAGACACAGGAGCATTTGGGGGCTGCCTAATCTATTCCAGTACTGCCTGCTTCAGACAGTTCTTAAGTAAATACTAAAGTCCTTAAGGTTTAAACAACTGTGAGTAAGGTGCTCTGTAATGTGAGGCAGTAAACACTCCCAGTTGCACCTGTTATTCCTATTGACACTGATGCCTGGAGACAGCCATGGCTGAGGGAGGTTAGAGATCCCCTCTAGTGCCCTGAATCAGCCAGTGGGTGGGGTGGGGGGGTCTAGAGCGAGGACAGAGGGGGCAATCTATCCCAACGCCTGTTCAGGTTGACTCTCTCAGGAAGTCAACATCAGGTGACACTAACTATTTGTTGAATAAATGAGTGAAAGAACAAAGGAAACAAGGGAAATGGCAGGAGAAATTAAAGGACTTGATGGATTTTCCCAGCTTCACAATAGGATATATCCCCATTGCCTTCCAGGCTTTGTATCCTAGGAGTTTGTTTAAGCCTTCAATACTCATTGGCTCCTACTGTGTGCTATGTGCTCAGGATGTAAGAATGAGACAGGATTCTGTGCTCAGCTCACCTGCTGATATCTACCCAGCCTACTCCAATGTAAGATGATACTCCAAATTCACTCATTTTTTCATTCTTGAATCCAGTCTCAGTTGTGGAAGGGAGAGAAAGGACTCAGAATTGAGCAGAGGGGGAGGTTCACCTGCTATTGGGGGCTGATAACAGCTGCTTCTACCCACCCCATGGAGAACTCAGGGGGTGAAGTTGTTTATAAGAATTGTCTGCTTTGAGTCCAAAGGTCCAGGCTTTTATACTCCTGCCTTGATCAGTCATCATAGCAGGCTGCCCTGGAAGCGTGTGGGTTTGGGAGAGGACGTTCTCTGCAATGGAGGCATTCCCTGAGTGGGCCGACAGCTGAAAACTCTCTATTCATAGCACTCTTAGAGGCTGAGCAACAAGGGGCGCCTGGGTGGCTCAGTTGCTTAAGCTATCTGTCTCTTGATTTGGCTCAGGCCACGATCTCATGGTTCGTGGGTTTGAGCCCTGCATCAGGCTCTGTGCTAACGGTGCAGAGCCTGCTTGGGATTCCCTTCCTCTGCATCTCCTCCCTTGTGCTCTCTCTTTCTCTAAATAAAAAATACATAAACATTTTTCAAAAAGTTGGGCAACAAGTCTTTTCTTAAAAAAGATTCTGGCTGATGCATCTCTGTGTCCATCAGTCATGGCCTATGTGGTCTGATTTTCTGACCTGTTTCCTACCATTGCTCCTTTCCCTTCTTTTGCTCCTTCTTGAGCATGTCAAGAATGTTCCCATCTTGAGATCTTTTCCCTTACTGTTCCACTGCCTTAGTTGTTCCTCCCTTAGATAACTATATGGTTCTTACGTTCTCTTCCTTCAGATTTCTACTGAAATATCTCCTTATCTGAGAGAACACTTGTGACCACCTTAACCAAAATAGTACACCTTCCTCAGCATCCGAGAGAGTGAGAGAGAAATATAGATATAGAGATAAATAGATGTGGTTGTTGTTGCTCATTGATGGTCCTCAAAGCTGAAGAATACACAGTAACAGACACAGAGTAGGCTTTCAACAAATGTGTTAGAGTCAGACATTGTGCTAGTAGGTTCTAAGAATGGTGAGAAAAAAGAGATCAACTCTGTCCTCCTGGAGCTTGACATTTGTTTGGGGAGGCAAAAAATTAAAAATCACACCAATAAATATAAAGTCGCAGTCATAAGAAAGGCTATAATGGAAAGGTGGTGCTAAAAGGGCACGTAACCGGGATTTGCCCCTGTCAGGAAGGGTCCAGAAAGCCTTTGTGAGGAAGTGATATAGGAACTGCAGTCTGAAGGATGGATGGGCCTTGAGTAGGTAAAGGAAGGTGGCCGATTCGGATTTATCTTTTGAAAAGATCACTCTGGACTCATTGAGGAGATTGGATGAGAAGAGGCAAAGATGTGCATCTCAAGGAGTGTTAGTGTGGTATGGAAATCCTTCAGGGGAGGGGTGATAGTTGTCTGAATTTAGTGTGGCCGGGTGATTGGAAGAAGTATCTGGATTTGAGAATTCTCGGGAAAGTATACAACAGGTGAGGCTTGTGGATTGTAGATGGGAGGTGCGGGAAAAGGGAGGTGACAAAAAGGACTTCTGGGCTTCTGTACAGCTGGGCGGATGGTTGGGAGAGAACACTGGAAAAGGAACAGGTTTACTCTATTATGTATTTGTATGATCTATGGGAGAAGACAGTGAGAGAGAAGATTTTGATTTTTGACATTTTGGTTTTGAAGTGTTCCTGAGGCCTCTAGGATGGGATATCGAGTAGACCACCGGATATAAGAGTGAAGAGCTCAGAAATGTAGCCAGGGCTGGAGATACAAATTTGTGAGTTGTCTGCATAGGTGGAATTTAGAATGTGGCAGTGAATAAGGTTGCCTAGACAGAGAACATGTCAAGATAAGAGAGAGGTCCTGGGATGGCATTGAGGAACCTCAACATCTAGGGATGTGGGGGCTTGCAAAAGACACTGTCAGAACTGCTAAAGATGTTGAAGGACAACGAGGATAATGCCATGTCATTTCAAAAGCGTGTCTTTATTACCAGCTTATCCAAGATACACCGATGCATAGGTCCATGCTGTTTTCTGAAAGTGATGATGAGACTATAATCTAGGACAAGAGATAACTAAAGATTAACAAGACTCTGTTAAAATGTAAGCATTTCTAGAAGAAAGGAATTCTCGGCAGTCTCAAAATGCCTGTAAAAGGGTTCGGAAACTGAAAAATACCAACGTGGAGGTCAATGGTGATCTCAGTGATTTATTGCTTTTTGCTGCAGAGGTGGGTTATAACGTCAGTGGGAAGCCATAATATGGAAACATTGGGAGTAAAAAAGAAAAAAAAAGCCAAAGAAATATTTTGGGTTGGAAGTGGTAGAATTGAGAGGTTAGTAGATAGTGAAAGGATCCAAGATGATGAGAAGGAAAGTGAGTAGCAGTAAAGGGCTCCTTTTAAATGTGAAGGACGGATGCTTCTGTTGTAACAGAAGGGAAGAAAGAGAGTGGCTCGGGCGCAGACATAAGTAGATTTGTAGGCTTGCTATGGGGGAGATGAAAGGACTGCCTTCCATTTTCTCTGTAACGAAATACCAGAGTATAGATGCTTCTGCGAGTGTTATTAGTAACGGTGCCCTGTAAACGAATTGTTTTATAGGTGGGTGGATGCCCTAACTGTCCAACTGTTTCACAGGTAGCTAAATACACACACACACACACACACACACACACACACACACACTCCATTTAGTTTTCTTCTACTGATGATGATAAATCCAATGATGTCATGAAGGGAAAACATTCGTTCCGATGGGACCCCCTATTACAAGGCGCCTGACAAGTGTGAGGAGTGAGAATCAAGCGAACAAACGACAGACAGCTTGAGAGAAGGAAATCCACCAGCACGCCCCTTCTGGTCCGGGACCTTAAGGGTTAAGACCAACGAGAGCTGGTCATCCCTGATTCCTAGAGAGGCTCCCTCCCCCCACAAAAGCCAGCCGGGGGGGGGGGGGGCGCTAGGGTAACTTCCTGTTTCTGTCTTCCGGGCTGGAGAGTTTAGGACCCTGGGTTGGTGGGGTCAAGAGGAGCTGGGGGCTCCTTGCTCCGGGACAGCTGGGCCTGCTGGGGTGCTGGGCGCCTTGTGTGTGGCCCCCAGAACAGTGAGTTCCTTCTCGGGGGGAAGGGAGCCGAGGGCTGCGGGCAGGAGGAGTGGCCACCCAGGCTGCCGTGTACGCCCGGAGAGGGACCCCGCGGCTGCGAGGGGGCCGAGGCCCAGCGTCTCCCCGCCGCAGCGGCCACCGCGCCTCCCTCGCCCCCCTCGCCTGCCGGGTCCCTTAAAGGAGCTTGTTGATCTGGCCTGGAACTTCACCGCGCAGTGCACCCAGCCCCCGCCCCCTGCCAGAGGTTCTTAAAGCCGAGCTTCAGGCAGTGCATTTTTTGGGGAAGATTTTCTAATCCAAAGCATGGTCCCATCCTAAGCCCCTCCGCTTCTAGGACAGTGCAGACAGCCCTTCTCTGTGGAGTGACGTCTCAGATCTAAGGAACAGCCTTGTGATACCACTTATGGCATGAATACCGTTGAGTACTGTTTTTGCTGAGCCCGTGCTCCGGAGACCCCCTGCTACCAGAGTTCATCGTTTCTTAGCAGGGAACGTGGTGCACTGGGTTCTGTCCCCCCAGACTCCTTTCTTCGTTTGTAAAGACTTTGATGGAAATCTGTAACTCAGACAGCAAAACATGGTACTCCATTTGAACAGTTTTTCCTCTGAGGTGTGTGGGGTGCCCCCTTCCCCTGCTCAAACGCTGGGGCTCTTTGTAATTTAGAATAGTTTCACCTTTCCTTGTAACAAATCCCTGGTTGCTGAGGACGCCCAGAGGATGATCCTCCGTGTAGGTATCACGTCTAGAGATAGAAATCTTCAAAAAAAAAAAAAAAGTCCAGTTATTGTTTTCCAGATTAAAGGTTCTCTTTGAGATTTATCTGCAGTTTGGGGTTACACCCAGCTTGTTTCCTGCTCTAGTGTTAACTGTAAGAGGGGTGTGAACTCTCCAGACAGGCTTGCGACTGAATCCTGCTCTACCCCTTCCTGGTTGTGACCTTTGGAAGGTTTCTTAATGTCTTTTGTTCCTCTGTAATCAATAACATGCTAGTTACTACTCATACACCTCCAAGGGCTCTTGTGGAAATTAAAAGAAATATTATGTGTCAAGTATTTAGCCCAGTGCCTGGCACATAACAGGCAGTAATTAGGCGAAAATACCATTATTTTGCTTTCTGTATGTGTGCCTTTGTGCGTCCTTATTGTAGGCGTTTCCCTTTCCCGGTTTGTGCTGTTCTTTATATCCTGAAATGGATTCCAAGCCCGTCTATCACCTTCCAGTGACAGATCACGCTTTCCAGTCTCTTAAAGTAGGTCAAGGATTGTAGTTGGCTCTAGGAGATAAAGTTTAGGCTAAAAGGGATATTGTGATTATGATCGACTGAATAAGTAGGAGTCCAGGAAGAGTTTATTAGCTTCCCTTTTATATTTAGGGGTTATCGGCTATACTTTTTTCTGGCCCTACCTTGTCCTAATTTTTTTTTAATGGTTATAGAAATTCTAACTTTCTTTTGAAATTGAACTTCAAAGGTTTCATCCTTCTGTCAAGGGCCACCTTCTTTCTAAACAGGGTGCTCTCTTTAACTGCACTGTATACTTACATGCTGAGTTTTTGAAGTCTTGTTACCTTTTCCAAAACTACTTTGTGTTTTCAATTAAAAGCGTTTCTGAACTCTGAGTGGACAAAGTATTAGTATTCATTCTATTTTTGAAGCTTGATGCTCAGACGTTAATGTGAAGATTTAATTTTTTTTAATTTCTTACTTCCTTGGAGAAAGTAAATTGGGTTAACCCTCAATTCTAAACACTTGCATCTGAGGTAAGATTTTTTTTTTTTTTTTCTGAAAGGACTTCTAAAGACCATGTTTTTCAATTTTCATTCTGGTCCACAGAACATTCTGTGTCCACAGTTGATATTATTGCAATGATTGAAAGCAAAGAAGAGTACATTATAGCAAGAGCCTGCAAACATAACTTGTTTCTTTCCACAGGGTTTCTGATCCCTAACGGGGCCCACCGCTGATGGAGCGAGAGCAAAGCCTGTTGATCTCAGATTCTAATGGCTTCACGGAGAGGGAGAGTGTGAAAAGCCCTTTTACAGGTGAGGGACCAAGAAGATTATCCGAACCCACTGGAAATTCAAAGAAGTTGTGCCACAGAGTGTGGAGAAAGAACAGGGCATTTGCATGGGACAGACTTGAATTTGATTCCTGCTCTCTTGCTTACAAGCTGTGTTAACCTTTACAGCCTCTCTTTTCTCATCGTTAAGAAAAATGAATAATATCTGTCTCATATTTCTTAGTATTAAAGAGACTATATGGCACACTATCGTTCTTACTAAATAGTAGGTACTATTGTTATTTCTATATTTTCTCAGATTTTAACTAAGGTCTTGTCAAGTTTTCACCTTAGAATGTGTCCTGTTCAGTTTCTCCCCTATTCAGCTCCCCCATTTTCTTTGAAGTATTCTAGAATCAGGCTTAATGAAGGTTTTTTTGGATGAATATCCCCCTTGGCGATTGCTGACAACCGTTTAAATACTTCGTTAGTGTTGTTTCTAAGCGCAGAAAATTCACCTGCTTCTAATGAGCCCTTAAAAGAGTAAAATAGCCTTTAAAAGCTTCTTTTAATCTAAATGAATTTATGAGGTTTTACTTGGTTATTCCCTCTCTCCCATTGCAGTTCAGAGTTTCCTTCCTCTGGTAGAGATGAGGGAATATGTTTAGAATATTTGTTTATTCTTGCAGGAGATGCAAGTAAGAAGCATTTGGAAAGTGTTCAACACAACAACTCCAAAGCAGATAAAGAGAGCGCCCCCAAATGGGCTAAGAGAGATGGCCCACAACATTGGAAGCATGAGGACACAGAAGAAATCCCACTGACCTGGTCCCAAGGCAGCGGGATCTGGTGCGGTGAGTCCCGTGAGAAGGATGGCAAGTCAGAGGCTCCGGGACATTCGAGCGGCGGGGAGGAAGAGAAACCCAGCCGCTGGGGCTGGGCGCCCGGGGATCGCGGCCGGGCCTCTGCCCAGCAGCATTCGACCCCCAGGGACAAACCCTACAAGTGCACTGAATGTTGGAAAAGCTTCGGTAACAGCTCTCATCTGCGGATTCACCGGAGGACCCACTCCGGGGAGAAGCCTTACAAATGCTCGGAGTGCGGCAAGTGCTTCAGCAGCAGCTCTCACCTGATTCAGCACCTGCGGACGCACACGGGCGAGAGGCCGTACCGGTGTGGCGAGTGCGGGAAAAGCTTCAGCAACACCTCCCACCTGATCATCCACCAGCGGACCCACACGGGCGAGAAGCCCTACAGGTGCCCCGAGTGTGGGAAGAGCTTCAGTAGCAGCTCCCACCTGGTCCAGCACCACAGGTCGCACACGGGCGAGAAGCCCTACGAATGTCCCGTCTGTGGGAAGTGCTTCAGCCACAGCTACGTCCTCCAGGAGCATCAGAGGATTCACACGGGAGAAAAGCCGTACAAGTGCCCCGACTGCGGAAAGAGGTTCAGTCAGAGCTCCAGCCTGATCCGCCACCAGCGGACCCACACGGGGGAGAAGCCCTACAGGTGTCTCGAGTGCGGGAAGAGCTTCGGTTGCAATTCGACCCTCCTGAAGCACCAGCGGGTTCACACAGGCGAGAAGCCCTATCGGTGCCCGGAGTGCGGGAGGAGCTTCAGCCGGAGCTCGAACCTGCTCGCGCACCGGAGGACGCACGCGGGAGAGGGGCCCCGCGAAGGCCCCGAACGCGAAGAGGAAGGCTCGAGCCGGAGCTGCGGAGCCGTGCCAGAGCGCCGACTGCCGCCGGGGGAGAAGCCCTACAAGTGCTGTGAGTGCGGGAAGCGCTTTGGCCTCAGCTCCCACCTCATTAGACACCAGAGAACACACACAGGAGAGAAGCCGTACAGGTGCCCGGAGTGTTGGAAAACCTTCAGCCAGAGCTCCACCCTGGTGATTCACCAGCGGACGCACACGGGGGAGAGACCTTATCAGTGCCCTGACTGTGGCGAGTGCTTCAGCCAGAGCTTTAACCTCATCAGGCACCGGAGGACCCACGTGGGAGAGAAGCCTTACAAATGCGCCGACTGTGACAGATGCTTCAGCAGAAGTGCCTATCTCGCTCAGCATCGGAAGATGCACCCAGAAAAGTCTTTCGAGCCTCCTGACGTTGATGGTTTCCCTCATGGGTGGACTTGGAAAAAGGGTCCGGGGGAAATGGCCCTCGTCTCTTCCTTTTCAGTCCCACCTCCGTCTTCCTCTTGAGTCCCAAAGCCTGTTTTTTTATTATTATTATTATTATTATTATTATTATTATTTTCTTTTCTTGCCGGACCATCACAATTAAGGTGTGGCTACAGAGTTTCTTTGGTTTGCTTGCCATAATGTCTGGAGAAAGTCAACCTCCCAGGTTAGAGGAGGCGAAGGCCCTGACCACCAGCTCATTATATCTGCCCAGGGGAGATGCTGCCGACCATGGAGAAGAAATGGTTTTTGATTTAAGGTAAGATTGGAATGGCTTCAAAAGAAAACATAAAGAGAAATTCTGGGAATAAGGACACCCGAGAGCTTGAAGCTAAGCTAGCCATCGAGTTTCCCTATTTCCTCTTGCCTCAGTGGGTGGCAATAATTCGTTATTGGCCTCAGGGAGTTACCCAGAGAAAGATTCTTTTTGAACAAATTATGTGATTTCCTGGCTGTTTTGGTGGGTCTTAAGAAAGGACTCAGTTTTTGTAAACACATTTTTATTTGCTGAAAATTAACTTCTATAGTATTTAGAACTACGTTGGCTAGTCCAGTAGCCACTAGTCACCTGTGGCTATTTAAATTTTATAGTAAGATCAAATGAAATTTAAAATCTGGTTCCTTAGTTGCACTAACCACGTGCCAAGCACTTAGTAGCCACACGTGACTGGTGGCTGCTGTATTGACTGTCATATAAAGTTCTTTCTTTCTAGCTTATCTTTCTTCACAGACTTGTGACGATTTCCTAGAAGATGGTAGGAAATGTGCTACGAGGTTTCTGCTCTGCAAGAGGAACTGCAACATAGGATAGGAATGGGATAGAGTTTTTACGGTGTTCAGTGTAGAGATTAGGCATTTTAATGCTTGTATGTCTTCTGTTCGACCACCTTGGTAGTCCAGTGATAGGATCCTGTTGACTTGGCCAAAGCCAGATTAAGAGGTAGAATTCTTGAATTTTGTTTAAAAACTCTTGACAAATAGGGGCGCCTGTGTGGCTGGGTTGGTTAAGCCTCCAACTCCTGGTTTTGGCTCAGGTCATGACCTCACAGTTTCGTGAGGTCAGACTCGACAACGGAGCTCTGCCTGGAGCCTGCTTGGAGTTCTTTCTCTTCCCTCACCCCCATTTGTGAGGTCTCTGTCTCTTGCAGAAATAATGAACTTTAAACAAAAATTAAAAATTTTTTGACCAATAGTCTTTTCCCTTCAGTTTTCTCATTATATAATTCCTGGTCAGATCAGAAACTGGGTTCTTTTTCTAGTACGTAAGCCCCTGAGTCTGAGCCACTGTGCAGGGACAGTGTGGCTTTGGAGACTGGGATTCCTTACTTACAATCTTGACAGTTTTCTTTTGCCCCTTGACTTATGGGATGCACGGATCCTCCGTGTTCGTCTGTCCAATGGAAATGATGCTTTGTAAAGTAACAAGTTATTTTTTATGCTCCTAACCCCTATTTTTTTTTTTTTCCCTGCCAGTGCAAGGAGCAGAAGGTCAAGACTCCTAAATTGATCAGGATTTCTGGTCTCATTTAGAGATTCAAAATATATTTTATGAAGACTATAGAGATACAAATTAGGAATGTGCAGCCAGAAAAGGCCAATTAGAGCTGCTGCAAATGCAGAGGGCAGTAGATAGGTAACAGCATTACATGGGGATCATTGCTTCTTTCACAATTGTGGTAGTATGCCTGATGCTGGTGAGGCAAAGAAGTCTTTCCGTATTGTTATGGGATTAAAAAGTAAAGCAGAAGTTAACAAAAGACTTAAGAAGCATTTGGGGTGATTTTTCGGCTTTCAAAAAGGGGGAGAACATTGGCTTTTCTATGACCCTGATCTAAGCCATCTTTTTGCCTTTGTGTGTTAGGTAGTATTGTCCAACTTGTCTTAAACTCTGATATCTGAGGACAAGCATTTACAGTATTTTACCATAAATGACTAAGAGTTTGATTAATGTTTGAGAAATAAATTTGGGCATTTGTGCTGAGGCCGAGATTCAGTTGCAAGGCGGTAGCTGTTGGGGTGGTACGTGGTCATCTGTCATAGTGTGTGTGGCCAGGAACCACTCCGAACCTGCGTCCTCATTTGTGAAGCAGAGATAATGCCTGCCTTGCAGGTTTCTGTAAGGATTGAGTAAATGTTTGCAAAGCAGCTAGCGGGGTACTTAAAATATTAACAGGGTCTAAATACATGGCGATTATTATTAATTGAAATAAATAGAAAAGTGCCCTCCACACATTTTCAGAAGTAGCAACGCAAGCCTAACCTGTCCTATTTGTGAATTCTTTATGACCAACCTCAGGAAGCCTGAGGACTAAGGTTTTGTGAAAACACAAGACTGTAGAGTGTTTCAATTTTGCAGACTTTTGAAATCCCATTTATGTGATTTGGCTTTTTGAATTTTTTTTATTGTTGAAACAAAGGATTCGGCTTAAGTCAGGAAAGAACAATATAGCAAGTTCCATTTAAGTCCGTTTGGATCTGAAGAGTTGAAGGGTACAGTTTCTGTCCTGTTAGCATCACTGACTGTTTTATGACTGCCCACAATTACATAAAACCGATTTCACAAACCTCAATGTCTATAGAAACACAGATGTTCACACTTTAGATGCATTAAGATGGGTTTGCTCCACGAAGAAAACAATTTAGCAAGAATCCTTATCTCTTCAGATTGAAAACTAGGAAAACAAGAGAGATTTGTTACTTAAGAGAACATAATAGCAAGTTTAATCATATTTGATGCCTTTCTCTCAATTTCATTGATCAGCAAATAGGTCTTCTATTTAGCTCCCCAGGAGGTAAACATTCTGTATTCTTTGTCTTGCCAGCAAAAAGAAATCCGTACCTGAGTAAATAAAGCATTCTTATTTAAGTGATCTGTTTCATAGTTTCTTTTTAACTAAAGGAAGACTCTTAATATTCATTTTTTTCTACTCAGAGGAGGGGCTTGTATTTTTTCCCCTCCAGTGGATTGGGGAAATCCATGTCCACACATACATGTAGTGGGGACTTTGGGCCCTGGCTGCTGTACAGTCTGCCAGAAGGCATACAGTGTCTTGCCACAGTACCTGAGGTGAAGGTTTGCTCCCGTCATTCCAGGCCATCCAAGGAGGATCTGCCGAATGAGCCGCCTCCTTAGCGCTGTCCAGATTTCCTCATCGATGGTGAGAGGTCGTGGAATATGGTTTGTGACTTGCCCCTCATACGTGAGTCCAATATATTTCCATCTCTGCCAGTCTCTCACCTTCTGAGATCATGGTCGTGACAAGGCCGTCATTGCTTCTTCGTTCTGTTATTTGAGTTTATGTAATTCCTTTCGAGCACTCTGATCAGTCATTGAGTGAAAATTTACCCGAAACCCAATATGTGTTCAGCAGGAGTTGAAATGACAGCAGGAGGGGCAAACTTATGGATAGACGAATAGGAACACGTGCAGCTTTTCAGGTGACTACTTTCTCCTTGCCCACACTCTTGAACTGCAACTTAGGCTGAACCCTCCGTCTTCAAGTCTGATAATTTGATATTGGAAGGAGCTGGAAATAACGATGTATCGAAAGGGTTCGGTTTGCTCTGTGAAAACACCGGCCTGGTGAAGTTTGACACAGTGCTGTGTGTGTAGTGGCGCTCGGTGGTTCTGAGTGGGTGTCATACGCCTGTGTGTTATGACTATATGCTAATGCCCAGTAATATGCCCTTTCAGGACAGGCCTTCCCATTAGACTGTCCACCCTTGAGTGCAGAGAACAGACTTCATTTTAGTAATCCCAATGGCCGACACAAAGCCTGGCACGTGAAGTGGTGAGTGGTTTTGGATGAAGGGCATTCACCAATGGTCAAGTTTACTGGAATAAGCGGTACAGTCCCAGTGTGCCCCCAGATCCCTTTAACATCGTTACTTGTCCAGTCCACGGAGTCTGGGCTAGCTCACAAGTGCAAGTGACTGCCCTGGGAAGCTGGGTCTGTCCTTCACGTGAAACCCTAGAGGACCCTCGATTGTCCCAATTGTTCAGAATCCTGTGGCAGTAAGACCTGGGCTTTTAAATTCAGACTGTCCAGGCCAGGTTCAAAATCTGTTTCTAATTCATGTTTCAATCACTTTGTTCTTAGCTTGTAAGGTTTAGTAAGCAGTGACTGAGGTGAGGTGCCTGCCATATGATAGGTGTTAACAAAATACTGTTTTCCTTCCCTGTCCTCCCTCATTTTCTCACAGTTTTGCCAAGGATAGGCTCTATGCCCAGAAATATTCATCACTGCTTGGATTGGTTATTTCTAGGTTTCTTAAAGATATTAGTAACATTTAGCTCATGGGTTTGTGGTGAGGATCAGTGGGATACTGTATGTAGTGTGCATACATTTAGCCTTGCTAGTGCCTCAGTGTTAGCTGGTCTACCGTGATTAAGTGGCCGTATACCACCGTGGGTCTTTGGATCATCTTTGAAGGTAGCCCCAGAGACATGGGTGTCCCCTGCAGGGGGCCACTAAAATGGTGCCGTCCTTTGGTTGTGCACCCCATGAACCTGAAGGGGCATGACTGCACGCGGGGAGTGTGTAACAGCTGAGTGTGTAGGCTAATAACAGCACAGCATTATTTTGTGGCAGCTGTGTGGGCAACTACGGTCTTTTCTATTTAAAAATTTCCTTTCATTCCCTATCTCCTTGATTTCATTTTTGTTTGCTTCTCTTTGGCCCTAACCTCTTCTGCCTTATCCATACAACATACTCTACCCTCCCCCCCATGTCTGTTTATTTTTGAGAGAGAGAGAGAGAGAGAGAGAGAGAGTCAGCAAGTGGGGGAGGGGCAGAGAGAGGGTGGCAGACAGGATCCCAAGCAGGTGCTGACAGCAGGGAGCCCGATGCAGGACTTGAACCCATAACTCTGAGATCATGACCTGAGCTGAAGTCGGACACTTCTGTTGGTTGAGCCACCCAGACGCCCCTTTCCTTGCATATTCTAACCCAAACTTAAGCTTTTCTACCCTTTATTTTGTTTCCCTTTCTTCCCTCACCCCTCTTCCCCTCCCAGTGAGGTAGGAATGAGGTCGAGGCTAAGGATGGTCCATACGCTTGGTTATAAAGATCCAGACGGAAACGTGGTGCTTGGCAATCATGACTTCATGGGATGTAGCCACTTACAAGCAGAGGTAGCTTGAAAGTGCGAACGACAGTGAGGTTTGTGATCTAACATTGCACGGCTGACAAAATCAGTAGATACCCTAGGATTTGACACTGTGAGGGATTAAGTGGAAGCTTTGGTTGAAAAAGGAGCACAATTAATTTTGATCCATGTTAAGTCATGTGGATAAATGGCCAGATTAAAGAAAATAACTAGTTGATTAGACTGACGAACACAGGTGAAAGATTTCCCCCTTAAAATAATAGCGTACTTTCTAATTATTAAAGTAACACTTATTGCTGATTGTAAAATATACAGAGAAGTATAAAGTAGGAAATGATGTAAAAGTATGAAGACCAAAATAAAAATGGCTCGTAACCATTTTTACCAGAGATCACTCACCACAAAAGTTGAGATCTTTCCCAATAACCTCTTTTTTAAGCATATATCTGAATAAATATTTTAAAATTGGATCGTGTGTGTGTGTGTATAGTATTGTGTCAATCTTATTGTCAGTTTACTTGTTTTAATGATTATTAGATTTTTAATGACCTCATAATAGACAATGATGATTAACAATAACTATTCAATTGTGATGGTGGATGTTTATAGTGTTTCTAGCTGTTTGCTATTAAAAAGAACGCTATAGTGAACAAGCCTTTTTTGGTTGTTTTGTTTTGGTATTGTAGTTGTGATTGTTTTGCTTTTTGTTGGTACACAAATTTTACTTTACATCTCAAATCATTTCCTTAGAGTGACTTCCCAGCAGTGACATTATTGAATCAAAGGACATAAAAGTTTTTATTTATTAAACATTTATTTTTGAGAGAGAGAGAGAGAGAGAGAGAACGTTGAGCTGAGCATTGGAGGGGCATAGAGGGAGACACAGACTCCAAAGCAGGCTCCAGGCTCTGAGCTGTCAGCACAGAGCCCGACGTGGGGCTCAAACCCACAAATTGTGAGATCGTGACCTGATCTGAAGTTGGTCGCTTAACCGACATAAAAGTTTTTAAAGGCATATTACTTAATCTCTTTCCAGGCCTAGCTATCAAATTAACCAGTGAAATAATTTTGTTAAACACCTTTTGGAGGGGGTGGGGAAGGAAAACATGTAATTCAAGGCCAGTACATTTAACCCATGGAAACCTCTTTGAAGGCAGCCTGTTTCCCTTTTCCTTTTTTTTTTTTTTTTTTTTTAACCCCTCCTTCCCTCTCTTGGATTTGGATCACCTGAGAATCACTTTGGGACAGTCATGTTGAGAACTAGCTGGCTTTTCCGCGTGTGGCCCCAGGCCCAGCTCCAGCAGAGGGTGCCGGCAGCTGCCCGGAGACCTGGGGACGTGGTCCTGGGGCCCAGAGCCTGGATGTGCCCCGAGGAACAGTGGTTCAGGAAAGGGCCGGCTCCTTTGTTCAGTGCCTCCTGTCACCTGGTTCCGAGAATGAAGTGCACCCCAAATCTAGGAGACGAAGGTCAATCAGGTTTGGCAAATGGCAAAGTATCTTTTTTTGGTGAAATGGATGTTGAGGGAAAAGCACATTGGAAACGTAAGAAGATACCAAGTTCTACTGCTCAGAGGACCAGAATCCTCATCTTCCCCATCCTGCTGTCCTCAGTAACTCAATGATCGTGTTGTCAGCCGCAGGGAGTGATGTTTTCCTAAGGGAAAAACAACCGCGCTGGGGGTGGGGGGGGGGTCGGGGGAAGAAATGTAAGGTGTGGTCATTGCCATTACCAGAGGTTATACCTGGTTACTCCTACTAATTCTTCAAACCCCAGCTTAAACATAACCTCCTCTGGTAGGCGCTCCCTGACCCTAAGGTCAGTTTATATCTTCTTACCCTCCGGTGCAACATGTACTTGTTCGTTTTTGGACACATACCACATCCTTAATCTGTCTGCATGCTGCTGTCTTCTCCATTAAACCCTGAACACCCAGATGATAGGTACTGCGTCTGCTCTGTTCAGTGCTTTACTCCCAACACCAAGCACAGTGCCTGACACGAAGTAGACACCTGAGCCACATGTATTACCTTGAATTGCATTGATGTATACCTTTTTTTTTTTTTTAAGTTTATTTTGAGAGAGAGAGCAAGCAGGGGAGGGGCAGAGAGAGAGTGAGAGAATGAGAATCCCAAGCAGGTTCTGCACTGTCAACACAGAATCCTCTTGGGAGCTATTCTGAACTCAACTAGTTGAGAAAACTCCTTGGGAGGTTAGGGCTGAGGAGCCTGAAATTAAGTCCTCCATTAAGAGCAACCTCGGGCTGCGCGTAGCCCAGTTCCAGGAGAAGCTTCCGCTGAAGCCACCCTCAGGACCACCCTCGGATCAGCCAATCAAAAGAAATGTGTAACATTCCTGTGGCCTGAGTCAGGGCTGGGAACGGCAGGTAGTTACTCTGTACAAACTAGCCAATCACTCACCACTTGCCTAAACCCCAGGTAGGCCCTTTGAGCTCACCTCATAATTGGTCATTTTCAAAGGATTCTCAAAGGTCGTGATTGGGTCCCGCCAAAAGTAACGGACGCCTCACGGATACTGAATGGTCAAAACTATAACCATGGGTGCCGTACAATTAGGATTGGTGCTTATGTGATGATGCAAAACGTACAACGTGTGCACTGTAACACCCCTGTCCCTTACCCCATAAAAACCCTGCTTGCCATTGTTCGAGGGTTCTCCTTGCTGCCGCTGCGCCAGTAGACGGGTGAGCCCCTGCTTGAGCTTGTAATAAAGACCCTTATGTACTTGCATCGCTGACG